CACTTATTCATCTAAAGACATAGTGCTCTCAACCTGTCTCCATTCCTGAATCATGCTTGGGTTTGACATATGGGTCTAGGAAACACTTTTAATTGATATAGATCTTTCACATCATGTGGAAGTTCTTCACACTCACACGTTTCATTTGCAAACATGCTTCTTCAAAAAAATATCCATTGAAATGTTCTTTAGAGAACCAAAAGTGTTTTTTCTATGTCTGAACTTCAAACAACCCTTTTGGCACCTTTAGCGGGTTTATTAGTTCCTCCTTTAGAGAATTTATTATTTAGTAACTGATGAATTATTCAGTACAACTACTATCCCCATAAAATCCCAGGCTTGTTACATACTAAGACTTATTATTCAGTAACTACAGGAACTACAATGCAAACTGGCTGAGCTTTTCTAGGTTGTGGAAGTGTGTAATAGAACTTTGGGCCCACCGGTGGGCCCTGGATATTAAAGGGGTTAAACTAACATGCAAGACTGAACATGATGACTCTTTGAAGTTGGAAGATGAAGTTGGGTACATTGACATTTTCTATGAAAAGCTGAGAGCTGTAACATCAGTTGTATTTCATAAATTATAGCAGGCCGCTCACAAATTGTATATTAGTTATTCTACCCTGTTTGCATTGTGATGAAACCACTGTAACACATGGTCTTTTGGAGTTCATTGCTATAGAATATGACAAGAAAAAGATAAAACAATTATTTATAAAAACCTACCAGCTCAGTTGTGCCAGTGTACAGCTTGATTCAGAAAGTTTGGTGAATATTTTCACAGTAATTGTCGCCATAATCTGGCAAATCAATTGTGACTTTTTATTCGTATGACTTTTTTATCCATATGAAGCTTTTTGCATAATGTCAAATATGTCAGCGTGAACATTACATGAACCAGGTCTAGACCAAGGGAACCAAAGTATAAAGTAAACTTCATGCTTAACTGATGTAGAGCCTTTACATTATATGGAGACTTGAACTTTCAAAATGTCTTCACCCTCAAACATTGTATTTACAAATATGCTTCTTTAAAGAACCATTCACAGAAAAGTTCTAAAGGGAACCAAGGGGGGGAGTTTCTATTGCATCACTCCAAATAAACCTCTTTGGTACCTTTAAGAATGGATGAAGACCACTAAGTCGGGTCAAAGAGTTTCTCTTTGGGGAATTCACCCTTGAAAGCAGCAATATTATTGAGTAACTACTATGAATAAGTCAGTAAAAACAATTATGAAACTAATATGTAAGGGTGGGGATTTGAATTGTGGACCACATGCAGGCCCCTGCCGTTTAATTTTTTTTAAAGATCCAATGGATGGGGAGATGTTTGCATGTAATAAGCAGAAGCGATTATGAAAAAGTGCAGGCGGATGAGCGAGTGCATCCAGATAAGGGAAAGTTCATCTTGCCACATCACTGCCGTTCATCAACTTCTTCCTGTATATGGGGGTGTGATGGGGGGTGTGTTAGCTATCATCAACAGAGGCCCTTTGGGCTTTGGCCTTTCAGGTAATAGATCTTCTTCATCTCTCTCTCTCTCTCTCTCTCTCTGTGTCTCTCTCTCTGAGCTCTCCCTAAGGCAGCACAGTGCTGCTTGGCTACACTACCCTGCTAAATTGCTGCTAGGGCCTCGGCACAGTAAAATGTGTTAATGGCTCATGCTAATGGCCCATTGTGCATGTATTTGAAACCCCCAGTACCCATGGCTGCGGTTTGTCTACACACAGATAAGATGGACATCCATTAAACCCAGCTTATGTCAGTTTAAGCTGCAACCCCCTGAGACCATTCAGAGGCTAAGTGGTTGATTGCCTGATTGATGGTTTTTAGGATTGATGTATTGATCTATAAATGGATTGAGAGATTGAGTTGGTGTGAATGTTGGAAATCTGACAGGATGCCTCCACGCATCTGGAGAGGCGGCTGGTGAAGGCTGAGAAAAGGAGGCCGACATGTTAAATTTATTAAGCATGAAATATAAATGCTTATGTGTGTTTGAGGAGGCGAACATTTGCGAGGCTGAAAGGGTCGACCAGCCGCTGTTTATGCTCTTGTAAAGCATTTTACGTGTTAGCGGTGCTGCTCTGAGCCCTGAGTGGGTGAAGGCCACAGCGGAGCAGATCAGAGACAGAGATGGCAGGTGGGAGGGAGAGAGTGAGAGAGAGAGAGAGAGAGAGAGAGAGAGAGAGACAGACAGAGAGAGAGAGAGAGGACAGTGAAAACAGAGGAAGTGAGATGTGGTCTTGTGCTCCACAGTTTTGTCACAGATCGTGACGCAATTACAGTAGGTCATCACACACAAGCTGTCTGCTCAGTGTGCACACACTCACACAAACACACACACACACACACACACACACACACACACACACATTTACATTATGTCTGTATCCTTTCAAAATGCTTCACAGGCTATGTTTGACTATTTACTGTGAAAAACTATTCACATTCTCAAATGCATTCTGTTGCTAGGTTGGACGAGCTTTACAGAATGTTGATAAAAATCCTAATGAATTTAAGATGCCTCACTGCGTAACACTAAGTTTCTAGTTTAAAGTGCTATGCTACTGAGCTTCCGACTGCTACCACCATGTAAGCATTGGCCTCTTTCTTTGGAGATAGCGATCTTGATCCTCAGAGATGCCACAGCCATCCAAGGAGTGTAAAAGAGCATTTTTCGGCCTTGCTTTGTCTGGGTGGGTGTGATGCCCCTCCCTCTCCTCTATCACTTAGCACAATGCTAGGGAGTCTGTTAGCCGACGTAACAATTGTTAGTTTGTTTTCTCCTCCAAGCACGTTGAGTTTCCCAGAGATGTTGCATTAGCAGCAGTTCAGAATAACGTGGTGGCTGGCTTCACATCTCTTGAATAAAGCATGTGCTGGCCTTCACCCTCTCAGCTTGGCAGCCTCGTGTGAGACCCAAAGAGCAGGTGGGAATTGTCCACAACTACAGTGGGAGCATGGGAGATATTTGTGTGTGTGGGGGGCAAGGGGGGCATTTACCCCTGCTAAAATGTTCATCAACTCACTTTAATTATGGAATATTGACATTTTCAAAACTATCTACTATGTATAGAGACTTATCTCCACTACACTAGGGGGCAGCCAGCATTCTGATGCGATGTGTTTTCATGCCATTCAATGTACTATAGAAAGCACTGCTAACAAGTGACCATGAAACATTAACATTTTCTGAATTTTTTCGCTTTCTGTAGTTCCAGTCGTACATGGCTATGATTTCTGTTCAGTGAATGCCTAATCGCACTGAATTGATTCTGCCACCATGATAACATTAGTGTATTTTACAACAAAAAAAACAAAATAAACCTTAAATTTCTGTATTTTGATTAAAACCAGCTGGACTGAATGTGATTTTTGACTGTCTTCTGCAGTAGATGCTCTGAAAGAACATGGCAATGGAGGGACAAAAGGTAACTGCAAAATCCACATAAGCAGTCTAACTTCATGTACTATTTTTGTTAGTAACAGAATACAACACAATACAACTAGTAGTCATTGCAGCGATGAGCTGTACAATATACAGTACAATATTACAGCAGAGCTGTAATTGGACCCTATGGAATGCATAGTGTGTGCTTTATGCATGTTATGCATTTGACTTCTGTGCTGTGTATTGGATATATGGTCTGTCATAGTGTATTGTGAGTGTATATGTAGTGTGTGTGTGTGTGTCCTTTAAGCCTGGGGCCACACCCACACCCACACACTAACTGGCTGAAGGGCCTCAGGGGCAAACGCCTAGGCAGCATCTCCATGCCAACGCTGAGCACAGGCGAGAGAAATGAAAACTCCTCATTTATTTCATTATTTATTCTCATCAAATTCATGTCACCATGGCAACAAGAGTTTGCATCTCTCTCTCTCTCTCTCTCTCTCTCCCTCTCTCTCTCTCTCTCTCTCTTTCTCTCTTATCCTCCTCCTCGGGGGGAAAGAATCATCAAGCTGAGAGACAACATAGATCTTCTGGCCATAGGATCTAGTGCACCCACAACCATATAAACACACGCACACACACACCGCACACACACACACACGCAAAGAGTTGTGTTTTTAATATATGAAACCCATCTGACCATCAGTTTTCAATGTACCTCCTCTGGGATTTTAGCATCTTATTTATGCAGCAATCAATAACAGAGCTGTAGCAGGAGTTATTGCAGTAGCTCTGTAGACGCTGACGGTGTGTATGAGTGGTTTATATGAGTGACTCTCTTGCTGAAAGAGATTACACAGAATGCAACTTAACTCTTAGAATTCTAGAGCTGTTACAGCTCTTTTGCTTTATAATTTAAGTGTAATTACATAATTGCATAGTTGAGGGATGCTCCAACATGGGAATTTAGGGTCGAAGCTAATGTCTGATATTTCATCTGCTATTTCCAATACTGATGAAAATATATAAACATTTTATGAAGTGTAGAAATCAAGATTGCAACTACCTGGATTAGCTTTACGGACAAATATAGCATTTATTTTTAGAGGGGTACAAATGCAGTAAAATGAATCAAATGCAGATATTTTTTCCCAGTAACCCTGCATCACATAAACATTCTGCTCTTCTGGAGTGCAATAAATACTTTATCAAACACTGGTTTGACGTATATGTTAAATCTAAACAGCTGTCTGATGTTGCTTTTTTTCAGACTGAATATCTGCCAATACCAGTATGATTCCAACATCATTGTGCGTCCATAATTACATAGTGAATTACATTTACACGAGTCACCTTTGAGTCTGTACTTATCATGTCCTTCTGTCTTATCTACGTCAGGCAATGAAAAAATGAAAAAAAAAAATAATCAAAATAAAATGTCTCCTTTTCTACCTACAAACACAAACATTATATCCATTGAGAATTCAGAACAGAATTCTTCTGCTTGTTTCAGTGACCTACAAATAAAAAATAGTCAGCATGTTTTTGTCATGGGCTGATTAGTCACTCTCACTTTCTGTGTCTCTCTGTGTGTTGACAGTGTGCGGTGACATCCATGGGCAGTTCTTTGACCTGATGAAGCTGTTTGAAGTGGGGGGCTCACCTGCCACAACGCGATACCTCTTCCTGGGAGACTATGTGGACCGGGGCTATTTCAGCATTGAGGTGAGGGCCTTTCATATCAAACCATAACACCTCCTTCAAAATGTGACTGCTGCCATACCCTAATAGATCTAGAGCATAAAAACCATGGTTCAGCCAAAAGTCAGATTTCTCCGAAGTCTGCTTCTTTCATTTTTCTCTGGAGCTACAAGGCTAATGTAGCTAACAGGTAATGGAAGTTCAGCCTTGTGCAAACTGCATGCCTAAATAATCACACATGCATCAAAATGCACGTTGAGGTGCAGAGTAATCTCAAATAGAGCTTATGGTTTCTGACACTGATCTATGAAAACGGTCAAAAGTAGGAACAAAATGCAGGCTACGAGATGGCTGCCCTACTGCTTTTAGCTGAGCAACAAACAAACATCAGATATCGTATCATGGCTGATTGACTACATTTGGAATAAAACTGTGTAAATAAAATTTTTTGGCCAAACCACTGCTTTAATGTTGCCCTCAACGTTTGTAAAGTCTGTTTTTTTGAGGACACATGTAGCCTTTGAGTGTCACAGTAATTATCACAGTAGATTAATTATGGTATTGGAATCATATCAGCATCTGTAGATAATTGTTAAAAAAACATTCACATCGAACAGATTTGACTGATATATGATGACGTATATGTTGTACTCCAGAGTGGTAAAATGTTTAGGTGACGCCGGGCTATTGGGCTAAATATCTACATTTTATTCAATTTTACTGTATTTTACTGCATTTGTAACCCTGAAACTTGAATGTTATATTTCTCTGAAGTGTAATTTACCATTTCTACATATTATAAATGTTTATGTATCTGTATCGGCAACTGCAGAACATATATGAAAAAATAGTGGCTATTGGCCCACATTTTCAATATTGGTGCATCCTTATAGATTAGCTATTATAACGTTTTGGGTGACACTTTATTTTGAGTGGTCCTTTCTGATGAAACAAACACTCAACTGACTCTAACATGTTGTAGACATATGAGGGTTAGGGTGAGATTTTGGGTTGAAGTTAGGGTTAGGGTTAGGATTAGGGCCAGGGTTAGGGTTAAGTTTTGGGTAAGGTTGGGTAAGGTTAGGTTTTGCGTAATGGAAATAACATATTAACAACACATCTACTTAATGTAAGTAATGTATCAACAGAACATCTTCATATTTACTTAAATGTATTCAGATGCTGCACTACTGCTACTTCACTGATATGTTGCTAACATGTTACCGATAATCTGTTAAGAGTTTATTAATCATCTACAAAGAACCACTCCAAATAAGGTGTTACCTATTTTTAATAAAGGTTAGAATTTGATTTTTGTTGTGTGATTATCAAAATTGTCCCATCACTGTTCTGTTTTGGGTGGCTTTTAATATGGATCTGCTCCTGTGATCTGCTAACCTGACCCTGTTGTTGACTGTCCCTTTGGGATGAGGGTGAAGATGAACAGCTCTGTCACCTCAGCCTCAAGTCCAGAGCTGAGAGGCACCAATAAGGAAATAGAGAGCCTTTTGAACTGACACGCTGAACTGACATGACCAATTACTCCATCTTTCCCTTCATTCCCTCAGGGGGTGATTATCCCCCCCACAAACACATACACATGTACACAATACTTACTGTACTATATAATCAGTCAGCTCCAAATGCCCCTGTTGGAGGGATTGTGTCCATCTGAACACTCAGATAACTTAGTTATGATTTGATCAATCAGCTGGAGTCTTTAATCATGGTTGTATTGGAGAGTGTGTTGTGCTCCAGCATTAATGGGAGTGGATTACGAGCTGTGTTCTGGAGCTGTGCTGTTTCATGTTTCATGCTGTAGGCAGCCAGCAAGCATTGTTATTATGGAGGACGACAGTAATTGTAATAACATATGTTATGTAATGCTGATATTGTTAACAATGAAGGCTTCAGTGAAGTTTGGATTGTACATTACTGTGAAGAAGTACAGAGACCACCCTTCAGCTATTGAATTTCCAGTCAAAATGTTATTCAATCACAAAATCCACGTGTTTCTGTCCATTCTTCAACTGTGAGAAGACAACTTAACACTATGAGTCTGAAAGGATGTGTAGCTGTCAAGAAGCTGATACAGAGTGCAAATCAAACAAAGATGCTGCTGGTGTTCTCAGAACAATGAAATGGCCACCCCAGAGCTCCAACTTCAGCATTATTAAAAGTGTTTTGGATTACTTGGATCAACTGGAGATAAAGGAAATGCAACCAACCTCTAAGATTGAACTTTGGAGGTGTAGAAAATCTGTGTGATTTATATATATATATATATATATATATATATATATATATATATATATATATGCTGAAAATTACATAACATAACAGACATTATGACTCGAAGTTAAATAAATGATGGGTGTATGCATTTGTGTGTGGGGAATATATGAATGTATGTTGTGGCCTTGTACTATGTTGCATACATGTAATGCCTCACACTTACTCTGTGCCTTTCTTTCTGTCTACAGTGTGTTTTGTACCTTTGGTCACTGAAAATCCTCTACCCAAAGACACTATTTTTACTGAGAGGAAATCACGAATGTAGACATTTGACAGAATATTTCACCTTCAAACAAGAATGTGAGTATGTGTTCTTGTATTATTCAAACTACCTTTTGCTCTTTTATCTATCAGGTGATCTGACCTCCAAAGCCCAGAGCATATCAACCCAACGTTTTCCATTAAACACTCACAAACATAAATGTTAAATTGGCATACACACTTAAAAAAGAACCATAATTAGAACCATATTTAGAACCATACATTTAATGTAGAACCATGAGTTCTATGTAGAATCATTTCATGCCTTTGGGGTTCTTTGCATGGTGAAATGATTCTTCAGATTGATGGAGAACGGTTTTATATGTAACCTTTCTGAAAATGGTTCTAGATAGCACCAAAAGGGTTCTGTTATCTACTATTATCTACTATCTATTGTTACGATGTCAAGTTTATGACTATAGACAAACACTTTTTGGTGCTATATAGAACCATTTTCAAAATACAACATATTCTCCATCAATTTAAAGCATGAAATAGGACCATTGCCTTTACTAAAGAACCCTTGAAGAATTTTTTTCTCTTTTTTAAGTGTGTACCTTACCTGTGTGTAGTTATGTTCCAGAAAGTCTGTAAAGCATTTCACAGCGCATCTTGTTTGCTGAATTATATTCAGTTTCTGGCTAATTTCACTTTGCTTAGTTGTTCCACTGTCAAATGCTGACCAAAAAGCTTAGGGACATTGACAGGTGTGGAACATGAGGTTAGCCTGCTGTCACACTCTTTTTCAGAATCTGACCGAACAGGTCAAATATTATCTTATAAAATTGACCCAATGTACCCATTTTATATTTGCTAAATTAGAAACTGTAATGATAAGCTGAAAGTGTAAGCAATAAGCGTAAAGCGGGTCATTACTTAGCAACCAGTGCTTAACCACTACTAACAAATCCACTTAACTAGCCACACTTGACAAAGCTTGCTGATTTGCGCAAGGTATTTTAGAAAAGTTGCCAGTCTTATGATGTGAATTAAATGTCCAGGAGTGTCAGCTTAATGGCCTGAGTCAATTCAAATTACACTTTTCCTACATAAATGTTTCAAAGCGTGGGGTGTACATAGGACAAAACATATCGGCTTCAGAAATCATTGGTTAACCAGAGAGCGTGATTGGAATGAGGATACACAGCATGTATTTGCTGGATTTAACCCTTGTGTGGTGCTCATGTTTTTGTTACTCAGTGGTCTGGTGGATCCACCACATTATTGTTTTTTTAAATCAATACAGCCGTAACAATTTATGTAAAAATACCAAATGTTTAAAATATCACAAGTGGCCAGCGTAGGATTCTCCTTTAGCAGCTGTAGTCAGTCAGCAGCCTGTCCATGTTGTCCACCCTCTCACACACACACACACACACACATATACAAACACAAGGAATTTGAGGTTGAAATAATATTAAAATGCATCACTTTTGGTAAACATTGAAAATGGGTCCCACAGATCCAAACAACACACAAGGGTTAACATATAAGAAAACATAAAATAAAATGTGACCTGTGCAAAGGTTATGGCACATTTAATTTTTTCTGTTTTATTTATTTTCAATGTACTAAACTCAGCAAATAAATAGAACTTGTGCACTACAATTTGCTGAAAAATGTCATTTTTAAGTTTGTTCCCTGTAGATGATGTGTTAACTTATTTTCACTTGGAAAAGCAGCTAAACATTTAATTTGACCAGGGGTGTTCAAACTGTACCATGAATTTTTTTCCAAAGACAAAAGGGCTTAGGCTCAGGTCTTACACAGAAGCTAACTATGAGCTACAAAATGATGACACATCCTCAGAGATTTATTCTGCAATGGTACGAATCCAACTGCCAACATTAGAACACTGTGTTTGTAGGGTAATGTTGGGTCAGTGTGCTATGGCCTTAAATTCTCAGCATGATGATGTCAAAACGCTATTGAGTAAGGAGATGTGTTTGATCCGGTGCACTCAGTGAGAATAGCTCATGTCCGTTTATGAGAGGAGCAGCTGAATGAGAGGAGAGAGCGATGGAGGAGGGGAGGGGTGCAAACTCAGGATGAGGTAATGGCTGAGAGCGGAGCTATCCCACAAGGCCCAGCGACAGAATATAGACACAGGTGAAGGGGGGTGGAGAAAAAGAGAGAAAGACAGAGAGAGAAAGAGAGAGAGAGGTGTGGAGTTGGCGGCAAACTATTTCTGTACCTACTCTGCTGACCTGTCACCATGGATACAAATGCCTTTGAGAGGCGGCGAATTGAGATTTGATGAAAAAAAAGAACATATATGTCGACCCACGCAGAGAGGGACCTTTAGCAGACTCGCAGACGCTGTTGCTTCTGTGTATGTGTGTAGTGCCTTGAGACACACACACGGGGGGCCTAGGAGAGTTTAGCCCAGAGCGAAAGAGACAGATAGGGGAGAGCGAGAGCTGGAGGATATGGATATGTATGATAAGCTGCTGCTATTTAGTGTCAGTTTGTTGCCCATTCTTAGCTGTTTTGGATGACAAAGCTCTCTAAAAATGAAAGAAATAGTATATACTACTGTTCAAAAGTTTGGAATCTCTTGTCATTTTAATCATTTTTGCATGTTCTATACAATGACCATTAATAAAATGTAGTTAAATAAGCTAGAAACCAAAGCGTATTCAGTTATTGTATGTGTTTGGGATTACTGGGATTATGAGAAGGAGAAAATGCAACCAACTTCTAATACTGACCTGAAAAATTCCTTGCCGGTTCCTTGGAAAAACTGAAAGCAAGCCTCCTGAAAAGAACAGAACCTGTAAGGCAAAAGGTGGATATTATAATATCACCAAAAAAGTAGGCTTCTGTGCAATTGTCTGTTAAATATATGTTTTCTGGCACTGAAAAATTTATAATTTATAATTTGTACTTGGCTGTTTTGACTGGAAATTAAATAAATGAAGGATGATCTCTGACTTTTGCACAGTACTGTAATTAAATGTTTTACTCAATATTTCAGTATTTTGTGAACAAATAATGATGTACTTTTGGTTTCACATTATTGATTCTTTTAAAAAAAAGAGTGATTCCAAGCTTTTCATCAGTACCTTCTGAATTTTTTGCATGCTTTTTGCATTCTGAATAGGTGAAAATAGCTCACATCCTTGTCTGTCTCTCTTTCTCCCAGGTAAAATCAAGTATTCGGAGCAGGTGTATGACTCGTGTATGGATGCGTTCGACTGCCTTCCTCTGGCTGCACTCATGAACCAGCAGTTCCTGTGTGTTCACGGCGGCCTGTCCCCAGAAATACACACTTTAGACGACATAAAGAAGGTACTGACCGACCCATAGGAGCTGAGGTCCACTATAATAGCCGGGCCATGCATGCTGGGGCGGTGGGCAGCTGCATGAATACAGCACAGAGTGGGTGTTTGTGTGTGTTCAGTGTGGGGTCTTTATGACACATCTCTGTGGGGCTTACAGTTGGACCGGTTTAAGGAGCCCCCAGCATTTGGGCCCATGTGTGACCTCCTGTGGTCAGACCCCTTGGAGGACTTTGGCAATGAGAAGAGTCAGGAGTACTTCAGCCACAACACAGTCAGAGGCTGCTCCTACTTCTACAGGTGAGAACACCATGCTCACTCACAGTAACTGAAAACATGAAAACAAGCCTTGGCCTGTATGAAAAGGTCATCTGAGTAGAGAGGAATGGTGTACATTTTGTATTTTGCGTGGTCTGCTGGCTTTCTAAAGCCCTGTGTCTACTGACACCTAAGGCTTGTGCCGATATGCGTGCCCAAGTGGTTTGTCAATATGTGTTTCTGTTATTATGTTCATGCATATGTATGTGTAAGATCACACGTATTTGTGAGAGGGGGAGCTGAGACCCACCTTGTGTATGTGTGAGGGTGTGAGTGCCGTGTGTGTTTGTATAGGTAAACACTGAGTCGCCAGTTTATTAGAGTTAAGTACAGCTGGGCCATTTTTTGTTTCTTGCACCACCACACAAAAATTTTAGAGGGAAATCATCATATTTTTTATATTTGTCTCTTTTATCTGTCTAATAAAATATTCTGAATCAAAAATGTACATACACAGTTTGAATTTCCACAATGAGTATAAATATAAAGACAGGGTTCCTATTTATTACAATTGTCTCCATACCAAGAGCAGCTGTAACTGTATCATGGGACAGTTCTAATAGTCACTGACCTAACTGACCTATAGAGTAATAACAAAAGTGAAATCTAACTATTTATGAAATGTTAGTGTTAGTGGTCTTCTGAAATATGTTAGTTTTATATTTTTAAACAAAACTAATGCATCATCATATTTTAATGTGATAAGCTTTATTTGTCGCTACAAATAACTTACTAGTTATGTTAATTACTACAGGAAATACTCAGGGTCTCTTTATTTTTAATTTATTTGGTTTCAAATAATTAGTCAATGTCCAAAAAATGTATAACATAGCAGCTGTCCGTTATAATGTATGAACATTTCATGATGAATGGACCAGTAGAAATGATTTATAATTACTCAGAATAAAATCTCGTTACGTTACATTGAAAGTTAAGAAGTTGTTAAGTTGTTTTTGCCTTCTCATGTAAAGTCACTATTTTGGAGATACATGTTTTTTGCTTTGGACCACAATAAACTGCAAATATCAATTCATAAATAAAACAATAAAACAGTAACACCAATAAATGTAAGCACTTTTGATGTTACTGAATGTTTTGTATTTGCCTAAAACTAACTAATGAACATAGTAATTAACCTGATTAATTCCAGCATCTGAAGATGTAATTTAAAACAAGTTCAGTTATTAACACTGTGTTACAACTTGGCACTGTGTACTTTGTGTCTGGATTTCACAAAAGCTTAGAATCCTGGAATATTACAAAATATGTCATTTTTAGTAGACAGATCATTGATCACAGCAGCATATGTTCTATTTCACTGTTAAGAAAGCACAAGGATCTGTGTGAACCCAAAGCAAATTAACCCCCCAACGTAGAATTTTGCTGATATCTTCGTAGTGGAGATATGTATGAAGTTGAAACTTTCTGTGTTAAAAGAGGATGACGTGTGTGTGGAGTATAAATATGGTACTTGAAGCTTGTGACGCAAAGAAGATAATTAACGTGTTGCAGCTCTCCTGCTGTTTCAAGTGTATTGGGTCTACCCTACACCTCCCTTATACCTTCACTCACTGCTCATTTTATCAGGTACATTAAACATATAATTGCAGTTTGTTGCTTTACAATAACTGTATCTGCTGCTGCTAGAGATGCAAATTTTGGCAAATTGTTTTGACTAATAACCAGCTGTTGTGAATAGGTAATTATTCGATGACCAGTAGGCCTAAAATAAAGAACACAACCCATCGCGGGTAGTTCAGTTTCTGAAATCTGATTGGCTGAACCACATTTACACTCAAACATCATCTGAATTCTGCATTGATGCACAGAGATATTACAAGTATTCCTTGTATGGACTGTGAAATGAGGTACTGATAGGAAGGGCCTGAGATAAGCATAAATCTGGCCAATCTGCACAGTTCTTTGTTGTAAGAGTGGCTGAACATTGATGTTGCATACATCAAGAAATGTGTCCAGTCCATGCCAAATTGAATCGCAGCTGTTTGTGCTTGTGGAGGTATTACATGCAATTAGGTATGATTCAGTCACAGGTGATTTTTTGTCCGGTGAGTTTATTTCAAGGAAGTGAAACGATTTTTATTCACAAGCTGTGAAACACGCCAGCAGTCCCTGTCTCACAATTTTGATGAGAATTTTCTGTAGACTGGGATTTTTGTCACTGCTGGTAGACACAGATGACCTTATGCTTCGATACACTTGCAAATTCAGCTACTTCTTCACGCTATCGCCTTTGGCAAGCCCAAATGCAATCACTCCTTTTTTGCCATTCATTAACTTCTGCTTTGTGAGCTATTTTTTGTGTATTTTCCACACATTGAACAAGACATTCACCGCACTGTACCACCTCTTCTCAATCTATGAATCCTGGCCAGGAAGCTTATAACTGCACATAATACCAGGCATCCTGGAGATGTTTAGAAATGGTTAAATGATATGACTACTTATGTTATTAATACTATTTGTATTTCTTCTAACATTAGTGGGTTTTTGACCAAATAAATCTGCCCAATAAAACAGATTTTTAAGTGTAATTTTCTCAAATACGTACATCTTTTGCACAGTACTGTAGATCTGATTCATATTTGGTTCAATAATGTAGAGATATAGCTGTTCCAAACTGTGTGTTTGTGTGTGTGAGAGAGATACAGAGAGAAAGAGGACAGATCAGTGGGGGGGCTCTCTCTGCTCTTCCTGCTCCACGAAGCACTTAATATTTCACAAAAAGTGCTGAAAATTTGATGGAACACTGAAGAGCATATATGTGTTTATGTGTTTCTTTGTTAGATTATTTGGGGGGAGAGAGAGAGAGTAATTCAGAGTTTAATGTGAGATGGTGCACTATAGATAAACTTACCAACTCTGAGTTGGTGGTGATTGGAACAAGGAGTCACAATGTCCACCACGCAAATACAGCCATTTTATTTCCTATCCAAATAAACTACCTACATTTTTGTATTTAATGTTGATACTGATAAATCTGTAGTAAATCTGAAAAAAATAAGCTTGCTTTTGGAGATTAAACCTTATCTCTATTCGTTTCTCTGATACAGAGCTTTTCACATCAAACCACTTTCAGTGGCTTCATTTACATCTTAACTATTTAATTGTGCAGAAATGTTGTAAAAAATGGTGGAATTCCACTTACAGGGCCTTCAGAAGTCTTTAAACATGGTCATCACCACACACACAATTCCAATGCTGTCAGGGCTGAAATATTCACTGAGGTGAAGGGAAGGGTTGTCCCTGTATGTATCTCATGGAAATTTAGAGATCACATCACACGCTGCATTACCTCCTGTATCAGCCACATTACAGTGTTTCTGTGTGTGTCTGTGTGTGTGTGTGTGTGTGTAAGTATGTGTCCATGTGTGTGTTCTACAATTGTGTCTGTTTAAGTGAAAAAGTCACGTGCTCTTACAGGACTCTACTCTATCTGAGGCATGCACATGCCTACACATGTATGTTGTGTGCTGTTTCACACACTGTGGCTCATGTTTGTGTGTGTGTGTATGTGTGTGTGTGTGTGTGTGTGTGTATGTGTGTGTGTATCTCTGACCTCTCAATAGTTCCATTCGTTTATGATTCTTTAGGAAACAATACAGTACCTCATGAAATCTTAGATATCAGCACGGTTCAATTCAATTTTGGCATAAATCAGAATTATTGATAAAAATACAAAGTTCAGTCTTAGAAGTTGGTTGCATTTTCTGCTTTTCACAATCCCAGTAATCCTAAACACAATGGGTAATATTGAGGTCTGGTGAGAAAACCAGCAGCTTCTTTGATTTCCCTGTTCTTCTTTTTGGTCTTTTTTCCTTTTCTCAGTAACAGCTTCTTGACATCTACACACCCTTTCGGACTCATAGTACTGAGTTGTCTTCTCACAGTGGGAGGATGGATAGAAACAGCTGTGGATTTTTTAAAGATCTGAATCAAGGGTGGGGTTTGATTTTCTCCTCTCTCAAAGATGAAAGCTTTAAGTACTTATTTAAGGCACACAATTGGACCTTAAAACCACTGTTGTGCCTTTGAGGATACATTTACATTGTTTGTACCTTAATGAACGAAAAATATACCTGCACGGTACCTTTATTTCTAACACTGTAATAGCCGTTTTGACAAGAAAATAAATAAATACAGAGTGGCGTCTTTCTTTTGCACAGTACTGTATATACTTTTGAATATTCACATAATCAATTCTAAATGATTTTATCTTTCTAAAATCAATGCAGTTGGATCATCACTTTTTGATCAATCCATCATGAGGCATCAATGCATTTTTATACTCCTAGTATGTGTGCATGTGTGTGTTTAAGCCTCTGGGCTGTGCTCCTTGCTCTGCGATGATAGATGACTGGCCTCCCACACTGCACTACTGCACTGTTCTGTCCTGAGGGTGTAGAGACTCTCTCTCGCTCTTTCTTGCTCTCTTTCTCTCTCTCACTAAGTTACCATTATAACACAGTTGAGTGATGACACCCCACGCACACAGATATATACATATACACACTCATAAAGCATGTTCTCTTCCTACAGTTTCTTATAATGTATCCTCTAATAATATGCCTGTAATGTGCATGAGACAGACTGAAGGAATCCATTCTGATCAGGGTTTTAGGTACCATGTGCTGTTTAGCAGTGAGCCAGGAGAAAACTGCAGCAGATTTGGGCCAATCGATAGCAGTGCTTGATTCATCATTATGTTTCTAAGCAGAGCCAAAGCCTGTCTTCCAGCCATTTGGGCTAATATTCTCTCTCTCTCAATACAATCATTGCTTTCATCACATCCTCTTCCCTGCTCCAGGGATCGACCAATCTGCAGCGTCTGTGTGTGTGTGCGTGTGCGTGTGTGGGTGGGAGGATGTGTGTGTGTGCGTGTGAGTTGTGTCCATTCTTCAGAGACACTACTGAACGCACTCATCATGTAGCGTCACCCATGTCTGCTGTTGAAGCACACATAC